CTGTTACGGTCACTGATTAGTCAGGGACTGGCTGTATTCTATTGAAAGGGCCCGTCTTATCTCCTCTCTGTGCGCTGGGGCCTGTGCTTTCTTCTTCGTGTCTTACAGAGAACACGGTCCGGCGTGCTGGCCACACGGAAATTACAGTCAGTCAATGCCTTTGGCTGAATAATTAGCTACTTTCTGAGCATTTGTTTTGGTAGAAGTTACGCGATCCTCGAAGCCAAGAAGAGGGCAAAAGCCAGGTACAAAGACCAGCTGTCTCACCCGTGCTTTTTCCTCTACGGTCCTCCCCATCTTAAACACTGTGCTTTTGATCTTCCTCCTGGAGGGCCTTGGGTCCTTCATTCCACAGGCCACTCGGGTTTCTGGGCCATCACAGTGATAATAAAAATCCTCCTGTTTAAAGAGGGCTTCACAGTTTACAAACTGTTGTCACATGTTACTTCCTCCTTCAAGCTTCAGAAGAAAGGGCCAGGTGAGGTGGGTGCCCACTGTCCAGATGAGGAAGCTGAGGCAGGCGAGGCCATCACCGTTGGGGTGCGAGGGAGGGACTCGAACCCAGGACCTGACTCGAGGAGAGGCCGACGCCATGCGTCAGTTCACAGAGGCCGTGGCTAGCCACCCCCAGCCCTGGCCCTAATTAAACAGAGTCTTCTCTGATAGGGTTTCAGACACAGCTCTGGTTGGAACAGTTCTAGGTGGAAACAGTTTTCTCTACTGGGGTCTCCTGCCTTCCTACTTGGAACCTTTCTCCCCAAAACCCTCTACCCCCGCATTCCCCCAATCCAAAGTCCACCAAGCCTTTCAAAATCCCGTGACGCCTCTTCTGCCCTTCTTTCCACCTGGTCCTTAAGTATTGGGTCGTCGGGAAAGTCATGACATGTTTTTCTATGTTTTTCCATGCCAAAATGCGTCATGACTTTCCCGACGACCCAGCAGTATCCCATTTGCAGGCCTCTAACTCATTCCCTTGTCATTCAATAATCTAAAAGTCACTCTAGGAAGACTCTTATAAAATCAATAACCCTAAATCCACATTTGTATCTCAGATGACATAATCTCTCTTCAGCAAAGGTGTGGTGCTGATGTTATGTACGTAAAACGGAAAGGGGCTGTGCGCTGGCAGCCCCTTCCCCACCCTCACCCCCATAGCACACACTCAGAGGAGAACTCAGATGTGCTTCCGCCCACACAGCTGGGAAGCTGGCTCACTGCCAGCTCCGTGGGAAGCAGTCGTGCTCTCCTACCTGGCAACCCTGGGGGACAGGCTGTTCTCCAAGGCCATCCTCCACAGCCACGCACCTTATGGTGGGTGACAGGCAGGCATGGCGACTGCATTTCTCTTGGCAGGAAAGACAGAGCAAAGTACGCAGCTGTTTTGTGTCTGGTGCCCAAAATATTTCCCAGGAGAAGGCTCAGAGGAAGGGTCAGAGCAGCGGATCTCAAAACTCTGCATGTGCATGTGGCCTAACCCCAACCGCCGGAGCAGAGCCTGGGGCAGGAGGCCAGGAAAGGCCTTGGGTCACTCTGAAGCAAGTGTCTGCGGGCCACTCCGTGAGACATGCTGCCCCATCTCCGAGGGGTAAGGCCTGCGGCTGCCCCTGCACCATGGAACCTCACAACAGCGCTTCTAGGAAATTCGCTCTCTGGTGGTGAATGTCACCTCTGAGTGCTGGCCAGATGGACATCAAAGGGCCACGGGGCATGCATGTGCCTGAGAAATTATGGACTGTTTGCAATTTTCCAGAAGAAGACCATGCCACTGCTGAGTGCCCTGCTTTTGGGACTGACGTCTGCTCAGCATCTCTGAGGCGATGGAGCTTACGCACCCCCAGGCGTCCTTATCCCCTTGTTTCTGAAGGGGTTGTGCAACTTGCCCGCACAAACACCACCAGTGAACGGCAGAGGCAGGCCTGACTCCAGAGCCCACACCCCTCCCACGTCTCTAAATAGGACAGAAAACCCCAGTAGCCATAAAAAAACAAACAAATATAACAAACTATATAAAAAGGGGGGAAAAATCCTGCATGGGGAAAAAAAAATAGGCCAGATAAACAAAGTCAAAAGACAAACTGGGAAGAAATACTTGCTACTCCTAGCACTGACAAGGGGCCCATTTTTTCAACCTATAAAGAGCTCCTTTAAGTAGATAAGAAAAAGACCTACCATCTAATAGGAGAATGGGCCAAAAGCATAAATAGCTAATTCACAGCAAGGTAGCTGTAAAGGAAATACAAATGCAGAAAAAGGTGTTCATTCTCATTCCTAACAAAGAAAATGCCCAGCAAAAATACCAGGAGACACTATTTTCACCTAACAGATTGGCAAGTATCAAAAAGTTGCAAGGTGTATTATGTTGCTGAGGGCCCAGACAGACAGGCATGTGAGTGCATGTCGGTGGGAACGCACATCGATTGCCTCTGAGAACACCTGTCTATTGAAATGATCAGGGACCCACACTTCGCTCCAGCAGCTCTGCATCTAAGGATGCGTCCTCCAGAACACTGCAAAACGTGTGAGACGATGGATGCAAGCGCACTCCGACACTGGAAGCCTAAACTCTCAGCCTAAATTTTCACCCGCAGGAGACACCTTAAATGGGTACAACACAACACGTCATAAATCATAATAAATCGTGTGATGTTTCTACAATGGAATACTGCGTAGCCATTCCCAAGAACAAAGCAGCTCTCCAGAAACTGATATGAACAACCTGCGAGATCTATTACTGAGCTAACAGGAACATACAGTCCATCACCTACAGCACACTTCCGCTTGTGGGCATGTCCACATGGGCACCACCCGTCCAACTTCTGCACGAGGCTTTCACACCTTCTCTCTCTCTCCTCAAACCTCCCACACCTCTTCCTCCATCAGCTGGCTGTACTGCTTCCCAGTCACGAGGAAAGAACCCCCCCATGCTCATGGCCTAGGTCTGCATTTACCTTCTGCCTCTCATCACACAAGGGACTGTCCCACGTCCCATCTAAGGCCGGCCACACTATTGGTACGTCTCACCCTTCTTGCCTTAATTACCAAGCAAGGGCTTGCTGCCCAATGTGCATAAGAGCAGAGGCAACTGTACACACAAAACATACTGACTGCCACGCAAAAGAACAGATCTCCAGATGGGCTAAGAAGTCGGTCTCAAGTGGGGAGTGGTTAAAATGACACAGTCCTCTAGATGTTTATTAGTTCTTGGTGAAATCAGTTTCTTAAACGTGCAAAGATAAAGAAGAGACTCGGAACCAACGATCTGGTCCAGATGCAAACTCTCCTCGAAGCTCTACTCAAAACAGCTGCTCTCCTTGCTATCCAATCACGACTTAGGGACCAGCATGAGCCCCCGAGTCTCAGCCAATGCTCTGTGTCAGCAGTGAGCCCCCACTCACTCACCCCTGCACTACACACAGGCACCTTTGGTTTCCCAAAGAAACTTCTGCATCCAACCCCATGAGATGCTGGGGACCCCTCACGTCATGAAGGAATAAAGCTATGACGACGGGAAGATGTTCTCTCAGGCTGCTCAAAGAACAATGAACTTTGTAATTACGCTTTATTTTTTCACCTCGAGGGTAAAAAACAAACCTATTTGGTTGTCAGAAAAGTCATGACGCATTTTTGCAATGAAAAACATAGAAAAAAATATGTCATGACTTTTCTGACAACCCACTACAATGAGTGGGGATAGGAAAAAACAAGGCAAGGCCTTTTGCTCAATGGCGCTATTGGGAGTGTGTGTTGCAATGATCCAAGATGACCTTACACAAGTCCACGCACGGGGTTTTACTTGGAACATTTCTCTCTCCCCATTTTCTCCCAAGAAGACCTCATGCAACTCTTAGGAGTTATACTTAGGAACATTTTACAAAATACCTTTGGACTCACATGGCACAAGGGAGGGTTGTGAAAAGCCACCGTGTCCTTGAGAGCCTCCCTGCACATCCTGAGTCCTTGAACCGAGCACCTTGTAGGCTGTGTGTGTGCACCGAATGGGTATTGATTGATTACGGCATAAAGTGCTAAGGTATGAGGACAGGGACAGGTGCTGGCAAGGTCGTGCCTGGACTTAATTCTGGGTGTGGCTGGGCCCTTCTGGGAGGGACACAGCTCCCTCCACGAGTCAGGATGACAACTGTGCCTTTGCCATGGGGTTGGAAGTCAACAGGTCTAAGTCTGTATACACCTGAAAATCCAGGACACAACCTCGCACTCAGCTTTCCAAACTCTGCCAGTCCCGAGGGATCGTAAATATATTTTTTTCTGGCATCTTGTTGAAAAGCCATAACTGACCATCTAGAGGCCAGGTCTGGACGTCAGCTACAGGTCACATGAACGAATGGTGACAACAACACAGGTGAGCCAGCGCTTCAGACGCACCCTCCCATCCAAGTCATGCTCAGGTCTGTGCTGTGAGCTATGAACTCTGGGGCCAGTGTAATTTCCAACGTAATTGTATTTGCTCGGGGAAATTATTACAATTAATTTTCATTATTTAATTATGTCCCAAACAGATGGGGGTGTGAGAGGTCAGAAGTCAGCCCCAAGACACATTCAGGGAAGAGTGGCATTCCAGCTCCCCAGGGTTAATGTGTATGCTTTACGGCATGGTCAAAGCTCACACACCATGACCTTTAGTCCAAGTCTGCAGCCTTGGGAGCCCGAACCCTCCACCCCGAGGGGAGGTGATGCCAGATCACTAGGGCAACAGTCACAAGGGAAACTGTCGGTCATGCAGAACCAAAGAGTATTCTTAACGAATGGGGTGTCCATGACTACTCCCCTTAGTCAAGGAAGGAGCACATTGCTGGGCTGCCTATCCACTTATTTAGCAAACAGATACCTCCCACTGCACAGCGCAGCATGGACACACATATCCTACTGCTGAGTGTGTGGGTAGGCGCACAGCTGCTCAAGATACCATGCTGTCCTCTAGAGACAGGACGGGAACAGCAGGTCTGTCCCTTGGGAGAATATTGCCACAGAGTGACTTTTACCTTAATCCAACGTATTACTTCTTGGATTCCGTGATCCGGACGGCCTTATGGTTAACGAGTGTTATGGATGCAGGACAATCTGAAACACAGATATAGAAGGTAGCTGGCACGGGTCCCCCAGAAAATCAAAAGGGACCTGGGAAAGGGTTGTCAGGAGCAGTCTGTTCCAGGGCAGCCTTCCTTGCTGGTCCCCAGCGCCTGCCTCCATCTCTCCCTTCAGATGGATAACACTGACACCAGGGAGCAAAAGCTATCAGAGGTTACATAATCGGGGCCCGAGCTTAGAGGAAAATAAAAACTGGAATGTGACTCTTAGCCTTGGTTTTCACAATTAGATAACACGCCTTTTGCTGGGTGTCCAATGAGTTATCAAGCATTTACAGAGTCCTCGGTCCAGACTTTGTGGTTTCATTTTTCCAAGTGTTGCTTTTTTTGCACAGAATTGAGTCAGTGGTTTCCTGATGACACAGACCATTGCTCTCCCCGCAACTTTCTGTCACAGGCAGAGACCAAGGCAGCCAGGACGTTGAATAGTTTGTCCAAGATCACCCTGAAGAAGTTTCCTAACTAGTACTGTTAGCCTTGTGCAGAGCTTTTAAAACAGGAGATCACATTTTAAAATGTCTTTCCAGGAGGTACAGTAAGATCAATCGATACCAATGAATTCCCTATCACCTAGGCCTCAGTTCCCCCTATCTGCAAAATCTGTCTAATGGCTCTTTTAAGGGATTTTCATAGAAATCAGGTAAGATAATATGAACTACCTAAGACGAGGTCTGGCATCTCACTAGTATCAGCCTAGATAAATGATGCCCCAATGGAAATACCTTTAAAATGTCCTCGTCTGCTGAGAAGCACTGTCCTAAATCATCCCTGGTAAAAGCCCAGGGGTCTTTTGTTTGCTTGTTTGTGTTTAATTTTTAATTCATCATGCAGTGATACTTTTTTTTTTTGAGAAGGGAGTCACAGGTCATGGCATTCAGAAACAGCGCACACTATTGCTTGGGCATGCTACATTTAGCTACTGACTAAAATAACTGTGTGGGCCGCAGGCGGAGGTGAAGGTGAAGTTCAGAGGACACCCCTAGAGCAAGACCATCACTGTGTCTCTGCATTCGAAGCCTCTACTGATTGGAAGATATATGATCCATTTATTAATTTCTTTCAGGAAGAAAAAAATGGCTGGTAAGCATCTTCTGGCACCATCTATAAGAAACACCCATATTTCAAAAAGATTAACATGTAGAACCAAAACAAATAGGCTCTTAAAATGCAGGCAATATGATAAAATGTTTTGATTTAGGGTCCCCAGGCACTAAAATCTGCACCCCAACAAAATAAACTCAGAGAACAAATTAATTTTGTTAATGAATGGTTGGGCACATTTACACAAATCAGCTGACAAAAGTACATAGTTATACCAATTTCTAAACACTGCCCATCAGCCAGGACAGGCCTCAGGAAAAGCATTCAGTATGGGAAACAACACAGTGGTTTCCCCTTTCTGAATCCATCCCCAGGGTACCCTTCCCACCTCTCCATCCTTTTTTCCTTTCAAAACCAGTTCTCAACAGATGGAGTGAGTTGCAGGCCTTGACAAATTATCATTGGGACAGGGATGAAACTTTTAAGCTAAAGAGATGAAACTTAAATGACACAGTTGGGGAGTCATCTTGAGTGGGGGAGGGTGGGCTCCGTGGGTCCTGGAAACTCCATGGCTCAGGCGCAAGGCCTGCCCTTTTCTGCTCCGAACCAGGATTTCCAGCATTTATGTGGGATAACGCAGTCTCCTGTCTCCCCTACGCAGCAGGGTAGAAAAAGGTCAAAGCAAGAAATGCCACAGCTATGGGGCCAGGAGGGCCACCTGGTTTTTGAGCCCAGGCGTGCCTCCTTCCAGAGCATCCAGGCACTGCTCCAGGACCCGGAGGGTTTCCCAGACTGGCTTTCTTCCGGTCTGGAGAGCAGGGGAGGAGGAGAAAGACAAACCCACCTGAAACCCGCCGCTATGAACCAAAGAACCACCCAGACTGTAGGGGGCTTCACACAAGATGATGGAACCTGGTTGGCATGGGAAGCTGGAAAGATGGCTGAAACAGGGGATGCTTTCTGGCGGGGTAGGGGGCACCACCTAACGGGCGTCCCTTTTCCTCTGAGAGCACTCTGCGAACCATCTCCTCACCGTTCCCAAAGCGACCTGCGTCGCGTTCTCGGGGTGGCCACCAGCATTAGTGATTAGGGGGCGCAGGAGGGCTGACGTCAGCACTCAGGGCTTCCGAGTGACTTTTGAGGCCACTGTCCTCAGAACCCTAGCCAGCACTCGCCCTACCTCCAGCCGTGGCCAAGGTCTCGCCCTCCTGGGGGGACCACACCGTCACCCCGGAGAACCCCTCCACGGGCCCTCGGCAACACTGCTGGAATGGCAAGGGGGTGGCTCGTTAAGACTGTGGCAGCACGTGGAGGCCTCGCCCGGGTTTCGCGTCCTTTCCCGCACCCATTTCCTTCTGCAGTCTGAGGAGCCCTGCGTTGGCCGGGGCGCCGGGTTGCGGTATGGCCCCCCGGATACTCACCGCGGATCCACTGCGCAACTCCTGGCGAACCTGAAACGAGCCGGCTGGGCTGGGCTGGGCTGAGGTGGGGTGGGGCGTGAAAAGCCGCAGTACCGCAGCGACCCCGGCAGCTCCACGCGCGCCTTCTGTCAGCTCGCCGCGGGGCTCCGCGCAGCACGTGCGGACCAATGCCCAGCCCCCCGAAAGCCCGCGCTTCCGCCGCGGCCGGGTCTGCGGGGAACAGGGCGCCTGGGCGTGTTTCAGGGACTCAGGCATAAACAGAGACGCCGCGGGGGACGACACGGGTCAGAAAGAAGCTCCGCGGGAGCCCTGCGCCGCTGCGGCCGCAAGG